TGGCGGTAAGTGAGGTACTAGTAAAAATCATATTTTCGTTACCCTATTATTTCGTTGATTGACGTTTGTTTTTTTTTTTAACCAAAAATTTTAAAATCAAAATAAATGATAGCATCAAAAATTGCCAAGATTTTTGGATATTGATGAAAATTTTATAAAATGAAGGGGCGGTTTGTCTAGTAATAATCATGTAATAATCAATTATTTGGTATCAAATCTCAAAAACGTAAAAAATGATCATACATTTTTAATTAACCCGAATCCGTTGCCATTATAAAAATCAAGTGACTCAAATTTCTCAAAAAAAAAAATGAATATGCCTCTACAGAAATATTGACTGAAGAAGTTTCATTTAAATAAATAACTTTACTAACTCCCCATTTCCGATTATCTTCAAAATTTGCACTTCACTTTCTCACTCCACGCATTGTTTCTGTTTTCCTTTTTCACGCACTATAAATCCGATACCGTATCTTCACCACTTAGCAAACTGATTGCACTTAATCCAAACAAATTCAGTTAGTCACTACTAATTCAGTTAAACGCTCGATATAGCGAACAACAATGAAATTTTTAACTCCGCCCGCTTTGAAGATTAACCAATCGTACGTTTTTGATCTCGTGCGCTGTTATAGCAACCCTCGGATCGTCCAATCAGGATGTAGCGTCGCACAATTCCGCACATTGACAATAAAGGACGAGGAAGAAGAAAAACACTCAAAGTGTGTGATTTAATTTCCAAGAGCGTGCTTTACATTCCAAGCCGAATTCATTTTCGCGAAAATTTCTTCATTTTTGTTCCGACTGGCAGTTTAGGTACGTTATATATATATATAGGGCGTGTTGAAAGAAAATATGACAAAAAAATATTTTCCTCAAAGAGAAGCGAAGAAGTTGAGCAATTTCTCATCGATTTCAAGGCTTTTCCCTATCAGTGGGACGGATATTCAGGTTACAACACCATCTTTGTACTTGGGTCCACAAACTGATAAAATTCCTCTTTGACAGATATGCTTAGGATCAAGTGTTTACGGTAGGAAAAGACAAGACGAACGAAGTGAGTGAGTTTGGTAGTCAACCTGATTGTTGCCTGCTTCTACAGGGTTTGGTCATTTAGTTTCTTTTTGATAAGTCATGTTTTTACATTATTTTCTAGTACGCTACTGTCCTATCTCTATTAATACTATAATTTACGCCTACTGAAAGCTTATTTGTGTATCGGTTCCAAGTGACTTACCCAAATAGGTCATAAATGGGCAAGTACTTGCGCGACCGCTCGCCAGCTTCCTTCGTAAGACCTGTATGTTGGTATTGGCATTGTAATATTTGAAGTTAACATCAAAGAAGGTGTCGTAAACTGCACTTTTATTAAGGAATTCTTAAAAAACAAAAGTATTTTCATCTGGGAGTCTCCTCGCTATGGAAGTCAACATGGAAAAGGAGAGTTAGTAGGATAGTAGGACATCTAATGAGACATAAAAAGGGTTAGTTAGAGATTTAGAAATCAAAAGTATTACAAACTGGTGCAGGGGCAGATGAAAAAATAGATTGGATTAATGTTCGCAAATAGTATATAGAGAGGTGGAATGCTCTAGTTTTCTGACTGAAAATAGGAAGGAGTAGAAGTGCTTTTCTAATCATATTAAACCCCCTTGTGACGATGACATGGATCATGTTGATGATATAAAATAGCTTTAAAAACACTACAAAAAATTTTACAAATGACAGTTTCAATAGTTGATTTTGGAATTAAATTATAAGGGTGGAATAAAACCGAAACGTGGCGTTATTTCGTCCTATCGGGAATGGTCCTTGATCACTGTTTT